CTAGGTTCATTATTATTTAATATTAGGGGTGCACTGATATAGACTTTTTTGGCTAATACCAATAGCTGATTTTTAAGGAGGTATATCAGCTGATACTGATCCGAGCAGGGGCAGGTTCCGTCACTGTGTGCATCCTGGTAGGGCAGTGGGGGCATGTGCCCCCTGGATCTGCGTGCAGGGTGCAGCAGGGCAGGGCGGGCTGCTGCTGTGGGCTGGGGCCAGGGGTTGCACTGGGCTCTTCCCAGTGGGGGCTGGGCCAGGCTGTGCTTGGGGAGGGTAGTGGCAGCACTGGGAGGGGAATTGGGGGGCTATGACAAATTTTGGAGTTCCCTCCCCATAGCCCCCTCCCAGCGCCACTGCTACCTGCCCTGAGCACAGCCCATCCCAGCCCCTGCCAGGAGGAGCCCAGTGCAACCCTGGCCTCAGCCCACAGCAGCAGCACGCCCCACCCCATGCAGATCCAGAGGCACATGCCCCCCATGATTTCCCAGGGTGCATGCACTGCTGGGAACCGCCCTCCCCTCCCCATGCTCACTGGATGAGCTGCGACTCCGTCCCATGCCCTGCGCTGCCCTGCCCTGGCTGGGCAGTGCCTGCCCCTGCCCCTGTCCCAGCCCCAGCCCCACTCCCTCCCTCACCACAGGGGCCTCAATTTACCACCCCCATGCTCCTTCCCTTCCCCCTCCCTTTCCATCACAACAGACTTACCAGCTGGACTTACCAGCTCTCCAAACTGCCGGGCTGTGGTCCTAGCCTTCTGCATGCTGTGGCTGTGCACATGCATGGGGCATTTATCAGCCACATTATCGACTGTATCAGGCAAAAAAAGCTGATTTCCAATATAGTCAATTTTCTTTATATCAGTGACGATCCAATAGAGGTGTACTGATGCATCGGTACACCTCTATTAATTATCTTCATTAATGATTTGGATGATAGGATTGAGTGCACACTTAGCAAATTTGCAGATGACAACATGGTGGGTGGAGTTGCAGATACTCCAGAGGATCAGGCTAGGATCTAGATAGATAGACTCGAAAAATGGTCTTCAAACAACCATATGAAATTCAATGAGGACAAGTGCAAGCTCCTGCACTTGGGATAGAACAATGTTATGCACAAATACAGACAGGAATGACTGGCTAGCCTATACTGCAGAGAAGGATCTAGGAGTTACAGTAGACCATAAGCTGAATATGAGGTGTAAGTGTTCTCTTGTTGCAAAAAAGGCCAACAGCATACTGGATTGTTTTTACAGGTGTGCTACTTGCAGATCAAAGGAAGTGATTATTCCACTCTATTTGGAAGTACTGGAGTACTCACTTGGAGTTCCAGTTTGTATCCAGTTTTGGGCTCCACACTTCAATAAGAAAGTGGACGGAATGAAAGGACTCTAGCAGACAGCAACAAAAATGATCAGAGGCCTGGGATGCATGACTTATGAGAAAGGCTGAAAGAGCTAGGGTTATTTAGTTTGGAGAAAAGACGAATGAGAGGGATTTAATAACAGTCTTCAAATATCTGAAGGCTGATTATAGAGAAAATGGAGTAGGATATCTCTCTGTAGCTGTAGAAGACAGGACTAGAAGCAATGGCCTCAAGCTACAGCAGAGGAAATTTAGGTTGGAGAATAGGAAAAACTTTCTATGAGGGTTGTCAAGCATTGTAAGAGGCTACCTAGAGAAGCTGTGTAATCTCTATCCTTGGAAATTTTCAAAAGAAGTTTGGAGAGACACTTGGCTGGGATGGTGTAGTCAGGAATGATCCTAACTTGAGCAGGGGGCTGGACCAGATAACCTTGTGAGTTCTCTTCCAACCCTACTTTCTTATGATCCTACATGCCTTTTTCCATACCCATGAACATCTGCCTATATTTGCACATGAACAGAAACTTTGTCTTTGATTTTAGTAGTTCAAATCTCAAAAAATCTATCCACACAATAATCCCGAGATTTTTCATAGCACCTGATGCTGAATAGACTGGACATGCCAACAGAGTGACTAAGCATGCTACAGCTAGACTTTTCCCCTATGAGCAGCTTTTAGCTATTACAGCCCAGGATGAAAGGCAAGCATTAGAATGAACTGCTGGCATTCAGGCATAGCACAATAGTGAGTTTTTTTTCTGTTAAACATGACACTAACATAAAATATGGCTCCTACCCAGGGCAAAGTACTTAGGCTCCTTTTATACATTGATCAAAATAACTTTATATTTACAACATGCACACTCTGGTTATCACCAATTACGAAACATATTTATGTGACATCATTCACATCCATTTTTCACCAGACATTTTAACCTTTCCACCAGATCAGGGGACATATTTATCAGGAAACTCTAAACTCTGTTTTGGTGTCTTGTACCCATTGGTAAGTGGGAATAGGCCAGTGTCTACATGTACAGGCATTAAAGCGCATTAATGCTGTGAGTGGACTGATGTAGGACTAAAGTTAGTCCCTAGTCAGTCCACACACACAGTGTTACTGTGCAGTATGGTGTCTACTGTGCAGTAACTAATCGAGCATAAATCACCATATTTACTTCACAGTATGGGTGGGGCAGGGTGCAGTGTCCCGGTCTGAACCAGGAGACAGCTGCCTCCTGGCCTGGTACTCCCTGCCAGCCCCTGGGCTAGCACCCAGGGGGAGCCTAGAGCTCTCCCTGTTGGTGGCAGGCACCCATTGCAGGGCCTCAGGAAGCAGGAGCAGTTTGCTGCCATTAGCAGCAAATCTGTTCCCACTTCCCTGTATGTGTTTACTCGCCTGCCTGGGAGCACTTACTTATGAGTAGTTTACTTACAAGTAAACTGGTCCCAGATCAAAGGCATGTGTAGATGCACCCAGTGCCTATGTGCCCAGCTGCTGCTGCAAGTGTAATGCTGTGAGGCTGCTTTTGCTGCCAGGGTGCAGACTCAATGGGGTTGGGGGCGATTCTGGTGCCACTTCTAAGTTGGTGCCCCTGTTAATGCTGCACAAAGAAATTAAGCAACTTGTTCAAGGTCATGCAGCATGACCATAACAGATCTGGGACTAGCCAGTACCTCATCTGCCCTAATTCTCTGATAGGTTTGTGCTGATTAATTAAGACTCACTAAAAAAGTTAAGTATATTTCTATGAAATGGCTTCTCTTATCTTGAAATGGGTAAATTATACTAGAACTGATAAATTCTAATTCTTATACAGGTTCTTTCAAGACTGATCATTTTGTGTTATACTTACCAGTGGGTTTCCATTTGTGCAAAAGCTGCCTCCTTGCCATAATAAAATAAAATAAAATGCAACTTTGTTCTTTGTCTTCTCAAACCCATTTCCTGGATTAAGATTTAGGACCAGATTGTGTGATATGAAAACACAGCCCTGGGCAGGGGGCAGTAAGGAGTAGTAAATCCCTGGTTGAAGCACTCAGAGACATTTTCCCAACTGACTTCAGAGAGATGTTAGGGTTCCCAAGAAAAACTGGACCAGTCCCCTGGTCAAGGCCAACTCTTTACATTTATAAGGAATGTGAAAACAAGGGAACATGATCGAGAGTTTAATTTTAGAGCAAATGAAAAGTTTAGATAAGTCTTTCAAGGAAAATAAAGAAATAGGATTACAGTCGAAACATTTGCTAAATGGATGAGAAAAAATGATTTGACAAAGAGAAAACAGCCCTGCAAAGAAAGCACAAGAGAAGTGCTATGATAGCCTTAGAGGCCCTTTCCCTCAAACTTCTTATTTTATAACATATTTCTAAAACACAACACCCACAACTGTTTTTCCTCATCTATCAAAGCATAAAATTGCCAGTCCTTTGACCTAACTTAAATCAAGGAAGTAGCAATGTTAGGTTTAATTAAAAACAGCAAATATTTGTACAGCTGTCCCTGGTTTCACAGCACAGAAATAGGTTTAGCATCAAATCTTACAGTTTTAAATCTCCTGGGAACCATATACAAAAACATATAGGATCTTTCTGGCTCAGTTGCCAAAGCCAGAAATGCCTTTTTTGGAGTTATTTCAGGTGGAGCTCATTCACCCTTCCTATTTCCAGCCAACTATTTTCCTACTTGAGGAGGAGATTTTCCATCCTCCTAATGCAGCGCTGCCAAGTTTACAGGTTTGGATGCATTTGATGCATCTTGGAGTTAATAATAAGTTGAGGATAAACTCTGTAACTTTAACAGCTATTATTTCAGCTTTTCGGTAAAAAACAAGTCTGCCTCTTCATAAGTGCAGCTTTTCATTGAATCAGGCATTTCACATCTCCCTGGACTGACATTGCGTTTCCAAAAGTCTCTCCCTTGTTCACCTTGTGTGCCTTGCGTTGTCAGGCCAGGGCAACATGAATGAAAGTAATTTTATATGGCTCTGAGTTGAGCCTGATCAGCAATGTTCAGGCCCAATTCTGTGCATCCCCAAAGCTGGAATGTGTTTGGATCTAAGATTTTGCTTCTGGCTCTGCTCTCATTTTAAATTACTCATTGAACACATTGTAAAATCCTTCATCGCTCAACTTTAAAAACTGCTTTCAGATGACTCCAAACAGAGTCTCATTTCCCACCCCCATGGCACACACGGGAGAGACTTGGCAGATCTTGTCCCAGCAGAGATCACAGAAGGATTTACACCACCTAGTGAGAAATACACTAAAAGAAACAAGTTAACACAACTTGAAGCACCCACACAAAGTACAGGTGCTTATATTCGCTGCTAGTTCTTGAGAAAGGAAAGAAAACCAGCTGCAGGAGCTGCCTGCCTGAAATGTGCACATGAAAAAGCTCTGCAGAGCTTGAGTCCAAGAAACACAATGAATGGGAGATCTTTTAACAAGTGCTGAAATATTCAAGGACAATTGACTCTGGAATGAAGGGGCGAGGCAGGCGGCCACACACATGGGCCAAGAGATAAGAGCAAAGAAGGGAAGGGAAAAGGGGGTGGGGGGTGGGGAGGAAGCCAGACAACATTTAAAACATCCCACCCTGGCCAGTGGAGAGGAACAGAAGCTGGAGAGCTGATGGCCAAACCAACCCCTTTACTTGTCTCCATCAATCACCAGCTGGTGGCTCTCCAAACCTTGCAGCTGTTGCAGCAGGAGCGGGGAGGCAAGGATGATACCAGTGCCCACTTGGACCAGGCCTCTCAAGCTCCACTATTCAGCATAGACAGGCCCAGCCCAATTCAATATGGCATGGGACAAGACCAGGAAGCAGCCTTCACAAACACATCTTGCCAGGTTGGGAAGCAGGCAGGAAGCAGAAAAGGCACAAACCAAAGCCCTGAGGAGGAAGAAGAAAATGGATTTGAGCCTCTTCAGCCCCAGCCAAAAGATTCATTCCCGTTATGTCCACCCAGGCCCCGAACTCTTACAGAGATTGCTCTGCACAGCATGTTATCCCGAGTAGTAGATTTAACATCCCAGCTTGTAAATGTGGAACAGACTCTCCTGTTCCCTCTGTTACAGGAGCATCATTCTTCTGACCATTTAAAAGTAAGTAAATGAGACCAGGGTTGTTGGTTGTAGCTGCGTTGGTCTAAGGACATAGGCAAATCAGGTTCTTTGGGTAGATACAATATCTTTTATTAGACCAACTAAATAGATGGAAAAAAGGTCTTTGCAAGCTTTCAGGCAAAAACATCCTTCCTCAGGCATAGGGAGACTCTGCTACCTTAGAGAACACATAACACCACAAGAGTCACCCTATGCCTGAGGAAGGGTGTTTGTTTGTGCTCAAAAGCTTGCAAAGAACATTTTTCCGTCTATTCAGTTGGTCCAATAAAAGATATCACATCTACCCAAAGAACCTTGCCTGTAAGTGACACCAAAGGTTTATTGTCTGGGGCCTTTTTCTGCAAATGTGTACTGATTAGACCATCATGGAATAAACTGGGTCCTGCTGTACTGATTGCAGCAGCTTTTTATTTACCCTGACTTGGTAGTAAGCAGTTACCCAAATTGTTTTAGGCTTAAACATCATTAAAAAAATAAAGATGGTGAAAAGATATCACAGAAACACTTTGGGTTTTGTTGAAAAAGTATACTCTTTTGGTGCTATAGGGTGTAATTAGGCTTTAAATAAGGCATTAGGCATTATTTGGAGCTTTTCCAAAAGCTACTTTCATATTTTCAGTATAAAACCTTAAATTGCAAAGTGCTATAATGCTATTCAAAGAGCCCAGGACAACAAAAATGAAGGGAGGAACAACATCTTATAAGTGAAATATTCATTTTCATTGGATGAAAGACCCTCTGGCTATTATTCCAGAATGACAATTTATATATACAGCATGTGGGACCCCAGTGAATATATGTATGAAGCAGTCCTAGCTTTTTTCTGATAAATGAAGGAATTGCTTATATTATCACATTTCTGTGGCTTTTTTGCCAATCACGGAAAAGAACATGCCTGAGGTGATTCACAGGAGATGTTGGAGGAGAGACAGAAGGGGTGGTTACTGTCAGCAGTCATGTTACCAGGGACCACCAAAAGCACCCTGCAATAGGCCATGATCCCATCTCAGGACAGCCTCTCCAAAAGGAGTCCCATCTAAGGGAAGGTTACCTCAAGATTTTATAAAAACTTATCTATGCTGTTCAATTCATGATATTGGTAATGGAAGATCGAGTTGATTACTTGTAGGACATAGGTTCAGAATTGGCATGGTTACATAGTGACTAAATGTTATTTCCCTATAATGACTCTTTGAGGAGTTAAGTCCAATTCTTTGTGACAAATGTATGTTGCTACATGGATTCATACCTGGTTAGTGAAAAATTAGGGCCATTATTTTCAGAAATGTTTTTTAAGTATCTCAATACTGGGTGTCCAAAATAAGATCCTTCAGGGACCTGATTTTCAGAGATTCTGACCCCATAAGCCCTCTCCCCTTCCTATTTCAACTGTAATTGTTCACACTTCTGAACAATCAAGCCCAAGTTATTACAAGCAAGGCTTTCAAACAGAGGCAGAAAAAAATCAGAAGCTATCTCTGAAAATTTGGCCTAGATTCCTTCAGTCTCAAGGGATATTAAGCCAGGACCTTTCACCAGAACTAAATTCACTTAAGGAGGAGTCAGAAGGAAAAGAAAGAAAACACAAAGCTTTGTATGACATGCAAAGGCCAAGATAAAAATCAGCTGAAGTGGGTAGATCTAGTACTTCTGTGTAAATGAAAAATGAATGGAGAATTGTTTATTGGATTTATGTAACATTGAGTTTCCTTTAGGACACCCATATTGCTGCTAATGAAAAATAAATAAATAATAACAATGGCACTGCTTGTTAGCATACTAATTCAACAAACTACATGTACTTTGAAGACGGTTCTGTGTTCTTCCTCTTCCTTCCCAGAGCTGCTTTACTATTTGCTTCTGTGAGAGTGTATGTTTAGATGTCAATGGGTATATCATTTCATATAGATTCTCATGTTAGGACTGCACTTGAAGTCAGGTTAGATATTTTTTTAGGAAAGCCCATTATTAAGCCCAGTGGAACACTGGCCTTTTTCTCAATTCATTTTTATGCCTAGGTGGCACATAGTCTGTGGTATGTTTCCATAAAATCTGCATCACTGATAACCAGGCTTTTTAGCTGGAAGTGACTGCTGATGGACATTTAATTTTACCTGAGTTGGATTCCAAGAATTCAGTTTATATGTTTACCTTGACAGGAAATTTAGATGAACAAGCTTCTCAAACTGGGCTTTGAGATGAGTTACCCAAAACCCTTTAAAAATAAAAAGCAGCTATTGATACTGTGTTCATCCAGTCACTCCCCTCTACTGCAAGGGAACAATCACCCTCTGAGCACAGAAACACTCTCAAATGCTAAATGGTCTGATCCTAGTCCTGCTACAGTGCCCTCTCGCTGCTTGCTACAGCTCTATCTCACCTTTTAGCAATCCGGAAATCAGAGAATCATAGGACATTAGTCCAACTCCTGCTCAAAGCAGGACCATCCCAACTAGATCATCCCACCCAAGGCTTTGTCTACTCAGGTCTTAAAAACCTTCAAGGATGGAGATTCTACAACCTCTCTGGGTAACCTGTTCCAGTGTTTTACTACCCGCCTGGTGAGAGTTTTTCCACATATCTAACCTAAACTTCCCTTGCTGCAACTTGAGACCATTGTTGCTTGTTCTGTTATCTGCCACCACTGAGAACAGTCTAGCTCCAGTCCAACTCTTTGGAAACACCTTGCAATTAGTTGAAGGCTGCTATTAAATCTCCCCTTAGTCTTCTCGTCTCTTCTCCAGACTAAGTCCAGTTTTCTCAGCCTGTCCTCATAACTCATGTGCCCCAGCCCCCTAACCATTTTTGTTGCCCTCTGCTGGACTCTCCAATTTGTCCACATCCTTTCTGTAGTGGGGGGCCCAAAACTGGACACATTACTCCAGGTGTGACCTCACCATTGCTGAATAGAGGGGAATAATCACTTCCTTTAATCTGACGGCAACACTCCCACAGCCCAGTATGTTGTTAGCTTTCTTCACAAGAAGGGCACACTGCTGGTTCATATTCAGCTTATTGTTCACTGTAATCCCCAGGTTCTTTTCTGCAGTTGCTGCTTAGCTAGTCAGACCCCAACCTGTACTGGTGCATGGAATTGTTCTGTTCTAAGTGCAGAACTTTGCACTTGTCCTTATTGAACTTCATGAGATTTCTTTTGGACCAATCTTCCAATTTGTCTAGGTCTCTCTGAATCCTAGCCCTACTCTCCAGCCTATCTACTATTCCACCCATCTTAGGGTGATCTGCAAATCTGCTGAGGGTGCACTCCCCATCCCATCTTCCAGATTGTTTATGAAAACATTGAACAAAACTGGCCCCAGGACTGACCCTTGGGGCACCCCACTTGATACCAGCTACCAACTAGACATCAAGCCATTGATACTACCCTTTGAGCCCAACAATCCAGACAGTTTTCTAAAATGCTTTGATTATCCTGCTTCTGTTTCTTTCTGGCCTGTGAGAAGTGCTAGATCAACAAGTCATGGGCTACTATAAAAATGGCCCAAAATGGTCCACATGGTTTGTGGAAATAAGATCCAAGCTACTGGCATTATGGAACATAAAACATACATTTCTCTGAGCAATTCAGAAACTGGAAAGCACTGTTTTGGCCAGCTCCCAGACAATGCAGGCCCAGAAAGAAGCCAAGAGATCTGTTTGGCTCAACAGGGATATTAGGGAGCTATTGAAAAAGAAAGAAGAAGAATATAAGCAATAGAATAATGGCTCAGCAACCAGAGAGGAATACACCTGTATCGCCAGGGTCTGCAGATACGAGACACAGAAAGCTAAGGTTGGCATGGAAATCAAGCTGGCAACTTGCATAAAAGATAACAAAAATTCCTTCTATAGACACAGGGAGCAAGAGGAAACTGGGATCTACTGTGGGACCCCTACTGCTGCTTGGGGGCAGCCCACAGTCAATGCCCGCAGAAAGACAGAACTCCTAAATACATACTTTGTGTTGGTATTCCTGAAATCAAATGGAGGCTGTTCACCTGACTGAGGTTTACATTAAGTCAGTCCTGAACAAGTGAGGGATCTCCTGCAGCACTTGGATGTTTACAAGTTTGCTGGGACAGATGGCCTGCACCCAAGAGTCCTGAAAGAACTGGCTCTCTCACCCCATTCTCATTAAAAAAGTAGGAAACTGTGGCGTCGATACCTACACGGTCAGATGGGTCACTAATTGGCTGAAGAGCCGCACCCAGAGAGTGGTGGTGGACAGGTCTTATTTGACCTGGAGGGACGTGGGCAGTGGGGTTCCGCAGGGCTCAGTCCTCGAGCCCGCACTGTTCAACATCTTCATCAGTTACTTGGACGAGGGGGTGAAAAGCACCCTGTTCAAATTCGCAGATGACACTAAGATGTGGAGAGAAGTGGGCACACTAGAAGGGAGGAATAGGCTGCAATCAGACCTGGACAGGTTACAGGGGTGGGCGGATGAGAACAGGATGGGTTTCAACATTGACAAGTGCAAATTACTGCACCTGGGGAGGAAAAACCAGCAGCATACCTACAGGCTGGGGAACTCCCTTCTCGTCAGTGCGGAGGCAGAAAAGGATCTTGGAGTCATTATTGATGCCAAAATGAACATGGGCTGACAGTGTGGGGACGCAGTCAGGAAGGACAACCATACCTTGTCATGCATCCACAGATGCATCTCAAGCAGGTCCAAGGAGGTGATCCTCCCCCTCTATGCAACACTGGTCAGGCCACAATTGGAGTACTGCTTCCAGTTCTGGGCACCACACTTCAGGAGGGATGTGGACAGCACTGAGAGGGTTCAGAGGAGGGCCACCCACATGATCAGGGGCAGCAGGGCAGGCCCTATGAGGAGAGGCTACGGAGGGTAGATTCAGGCTAGACATCAAGAGGCACTACTTCACTGTCAGGGCAGCTAGGATCTGGAACCAACTTCCAAGAGAAGTGGTGCTGTCTCCTACCCTGGGGGTCTTTAAAAGGAGGCTGGATGAACA